TCCTTCTCTGTCTTTTGCTTTTTCATCATTTTTGTCTTCCTCACCTTCATCCTAATCAAAACATTTAAAAGGAAATTGTGGAATTTTATATCCATCCACCAGAAACACGCTCAAACACACACAATTTGCCTCTATTCCTTAAATAAATCTCTTTCAAAAACTGTAACTTCACAAAAACAGTATGAGGCATTTTAGTCCTAAATGTGTTCATTGCTCACCTGTGAACCTCCCTGTGCTCCCTCTGAAACAACTGTGGTCTCTGGCAACTGACTAGCCTACAAAAGCAGGGTGCAGTGATAAAGAATAAGACTTCAAAATTAGCCTCCCTTAATTAATGCCCACCTACAGAACATTAAGAAATCACTTACAAGATTTCTTTTGAAAAAGGTGTCAATCTTCTGCTGCCCTTTCTGCATCTTAATACTGCGTGGCAAAAAGACAGTGCTAAGTGGTAACTAGCTCAGACAGGGCTGTGAGACTTCTTAAAAAATAGCCTACTTGCGTTAGCATCATACAGCTCCCTATCTAACTTTGTTAACAACGTAATACTAGCTGCTTAGGTGGTGAACAGGGTACATGATGGATATTAAGTATTTATCAGCAGATATTCCATTGTGACAGTAATTTTGGCTTCACTAATTTACTGTGATGCAGTGTTCTTCACATTTACTGCCTGACCTTCAGACTGCTCCATAACACTTGTTTCTCTACACCATCTCCTTAGCTGTCTCCTTTCCTCTTGAATGCTAGTGTTGTGATTTGTGTTTGCCGCTAACTGGTTGATTTGCTGTGATTGCCTGTAATATCTGTCGCTCAAACTAACTTGACCTATGTGTTTGCATGTGTGTTGCCTCCTGTGTACGTGTGTGGGGTTGTTCATACTCTCTCCCTGATGTCATTTTGTATACATTGGCTATTTAGTTTACATCTTTCCAAAAAGTGTGGGGGATGAAATGTGTTTTTAGAAAAGGTATGGGTGTTGTGTCCCCCACATCCCCACGGCTGCAACGCGCATGCTCACAAAGATAGAAGGACAAGTCTGTGTGTGTGTGTGTGTGTGTATGTGTGTGTGTGAGAGAGAGAGAGAGATTGCAGGGATGGACAAATATTAGTTTAGTACAAATAAAAATAAAAGCCTGGCAGACTAGCATATGCTTGGCCTCATTTGAGCACTTCTATTTCTTAGACAAGTCAAGGACTCAATAATTTTTATTACGTGAGTTTAGAATTAGTCTTGCAGCACAGTGGCATGCTAGCAACTTGAACCTTTTCACATCATTTATTGACACCATCAGCTGAAAGAAAACCACACATTTAGTGTACTTCAGGCATAGACTGTGGGCTGTACATATCATCCTCCACATATACATTTAACCTTTAGATTTCTATCGGTACAAGTGTTTGCGCACGCAGTACAGCCGCTGTAACATAAAGCAGAAGGCCTGGATCCTTTGAAATGAGGTGAAGGCAAACATTATTGCTATTATTCAGTAGGCAAGCATGTCATTATCCTTTCCCAGTATGGAGAGCAGTACAGGATGGAGTTGTTTGAGGGAGACGGGCCAATGTGTGGAGCTGTGTGACGACTGTCCCTTTCTGCAGGCACAAGGCCTTACTAAGAACTGCGTCAACTCCATCAAGGTTTAGGGGGATGGAGCATATGTATTGCTAGTGTTTGATCAAACTTGCTTCGATCACATAAGAGTGTTACATTATTTGGTTAATTATACATCACTGGTGGACTGGGCGACCACAGTTAAAGGGTCAGTTCACCCAAAATCACAAAAAACATTTCTCACATGCCTCTTTTGGTATTTGATCATGCAGATTATTTTAGTTTTATTTGCCAAGATTATGACATATCCAGCTGTGAGGACAACTTAATTTTGTGTGTCTAAATTACTCATAGGAGGGTGTGTGTGGATATTTCAAAACCTGAGCATATAAAATCAAACTATCTTTAAAATTACTACAAAAGGTAAGTGAGAAATCTGTTTTTTAGTCATTTGGGTGAACTTGCCCTTTAAATTAATTGTGTATTTAAACCAAGACAGGTAGAATAATGTCAGAACTTTCTTATAAATGTTACCTTGTATATTTTTAAAACTACATAAAGCACTACCTCATGAACAAATTGTGCTATATTTTCTACATATCACTAAATATGCCACATTTAAAAATAATTATTTTTACTTATTTTGCCAAACAGCTGGGTCATGTATGAAAAGCCCAACTACTGTGGCCGCATGTTCGTCGTGGAGAGACGAAACTACTATACCCACATGGAGTGGCAGGCAGAAAACCCCAACATCCAGTCTGTTCGCAGGGTGACAAACTTCTAAAACCACCTCATTGTCAATATGACTCCAGGGATGTGATCATCTACTGGTGATAAACACACTGCACAATCAAGTAATCTCATGCTGATTGTGTAAGGCTGTAAAATAATAAAAGATGAAGAAGATGTTTGACATTGCTTGTTTTATATTTCTATTGCTTTATTCAAAGGCAGAAATAAAGTAGTGATCTTACAATATATTAAATCTTATTTCTATTTTTTTCTTCTTTTATGCTCACTCAGTGTGATACTCCCAACTTAACCACCACATTTCATTGTAGAAATGGCTACAGGCTATGATTCATGTAATTGCTTTCTATTATATGCCATAACTGCAAAACGTTTAAGTGCTGTGCTTTTCCTCAAACTAATGGATCCATTAGCAAGTTACATGAGGTATTCTGGGTACCACTGAACATAGATTACGGACAGATGGGTATTTTATCTACTCATAGGGTGAATTCTATTGTTTTGATAGTAAAAGGGGGGGGGGGGGGGGAGACACAACAACAAAAAAAACAATTATTAGCAAACTAAATCATTTAAAACCAGAAAGCCTTTTAAAACATTCATACAAGTGAATATTTGGCAATCAGCTGTGAACAACACAGACTGTGTGTCCTCTCTACATATACTATAGTGTATTAATCAAGAATGAAGGACAGATGTTGTGCAGGTGTAGGCAGTACCGGCCCCAGGGAGCTCTGCTACCACCTAGTGTCACTGATCTGTTTTACTGTGAAGCTGTGACGCTCACCTCAGGGTTTTCAAAGTGATCTCAGTGGAGACTTTCAGCTGTAATGACACACACATACACACATAAAATGTGTGACAGCGTTTTCATACATGACAAGAAAAAACAGACAGACTTTTAATGAATTTCCATTTAACATTTATCAACCTCAATTCAGATTCTCCAGCAAGATTATATCCAGTTTTTAATCATATTATGCACAAAACATATATGCCATGTAAGTGATGACAGGTTGCATCATTTAATAGTGTTTTACAAAACTATTCACTCATAGCGTCATGTTTTTATGTGCCACTGCATCATGTAACCCCATGCTCCAGTTCTACAAAGAGTGTCACACCATGGTTGTGGCTGGTGGACCTTTAATGGGCACCCATGTGCTTTCTCTTCCAACTGTCATGACAACAGAACATCTGTCTTTACAAGGTTTCACTGGTGGCCTCTTATCGAGTTACAGGGTCAATACAGAATTGCTTAATGAGGAAATGCTTTGTCTTGAGTTGCACTCAATGGCAGTAGTTGAAGGGTGATTACCTATAGCTAACCTTATTCCTGGGCCATTTGCTGCATGAATTGGCTCTGTGTCACAAACATGCCATTAGTCTGGATGTCAAAGATAAGAAAGAGAGAGGGACCTGTGAGCGAGGCTTAATGGCATTCTAACAGTGTCACTGTTGATTTTCTCTGATGA